CCAGGCGAACGTATTTGATAGTAGCAATCCATCAGCATGAGAGAACGATTAACTACTTCAGGATATTTTCTATGTTGAACATACCTTTTTTATTAGGCTCACTCAAATCCTCGGACACTTGATTGTGCAATGGCGAATAAGGAAACTGTGAAACTGCCGAACATTATATTTTGACCGCGTTCTAGCAATTCTGGCCCCTTTTACGAAGGCTAAAATCTCCTCAAGGTTTAGTTTCTTAACAACGATCAAAGTCTTATAAGCCTCCTCTAACAACATACTCTGTGGATTCAGCGGTAGAGGTAACACAATTATTTTCTAAATGAGGCCTTACACCTTTTATCTAATTTATATCTCATTTGTTAGTGTTATACATACATTACATAGCTTGGCTACAGATTTGGTTAAGCCATCAGATCAACATCAAACAGATTTGAAATTCAGAAAATGCACAATTATTTCAAGGGTAACTAAATGTTCTCTTCCACAAAGGTCACAAGAACATTTCCTCGTCCTGTCATAACCCCAGTGGCAGAACAAAGAGATCTGGTGTGCAACGTGGACGCGATGACATTTTAGAAAATCATTTTAAAAACTGTACTCAGTGCAATACTAAAACACTGGCTCACTGGGACATCTGCACAAATGCATCGTCTTTTAATTCCATTGACTTCACTTGTTTAACAACTACTTGTGAAGCTTACTCTAAGTAAACTAATGTTGTAACTTATAGATCAAACCTGTAAAAACGGCGTTTACCTGCCATCGCAGAAATGCATTATATTGTAATGTCACCAACTGTACACAAAGTATCACATCACGAATTTATTTATCTTCCGTGCTGCCCATTAGTTTTTAGAAACGAATGATTCAACAAGTATTATATTTCTAATCTCCTCCTAACTTGACACCTACCCTACTACTATCCATAAGAAAACTGAGCAAAGTTATCTTCAAAATCTCAATATCAATTTAGCTAACTTATCATCGTGAATTTCTGACAGATTCAGTTACTTCTCCAATGCAGGACTCTTTCCAAACTTTTTCACAAGCAAAAATCTACTTAACTATACTTTGGTAGAATTGAAAAGACTACAGCTCGCACCATAAATGCTCAGATTATTATCACATTTGTCGTCTTTAAATTTTAAAAAACTAGAAATTTCCACCTCATCCAATGATATTAGTCAATATATCTAGGAATTCGACATAAATTATAGAGACCCAAAGTGCATCCAAAATCCAAAGAATCCGAAAAAATGAATTAAGGGGCACTTTTGTGATCGACAGTTCCATTTTAATCGTTTCTTGAAGAATGGGTGATTGATAAGATCGTAACTTTTAAGAGAACAATTGGGAGATGAAAAATTCAAATTTAAAATTACCATTTTTTATTCATAATTTACAAACTGTCAAAAAGTGAATGCAGGGTTAGAAAAGCACTTAGTGATATTGGTCTGCGTTATGGTAAATTGCCTCAATGAGAGCGTTAACAACAATCAGCAGTGTTTTTGTCAGCTAAATTCAGAAATAAACGGCAGTTTATAGCTGTGGATGTGTTTTTGTGAGGTGTTTATCTCAACTTCGCCCTAAAACAAGGTGAGACCTACGGCAACAATGTAAAAGGAAAGATGTTGGTATCTGAACCCGGAAAGCAAAGCCAACGGAGGAAGTTGTCACCTACACTATCTTTCTCCCGATGATTTTTCTTGTTCAGTTTATCTCTTATGTCGTGAGAGTACTCTTGGTTGGCGATATTGTTGACCTTTGCTAGATCTTTTTTCACCAGTATTGGACGATGAGAATTAAAGTGTTAAAACAACCTGTGAATACAAGACAATAAATCTTAGCTTTCCTTTTTGTACCGTTGCAAAATCAAAACTTGAGTATGCTCTGTTTTGTGGCCACCTCATCAGCGTGAAGCTTACTGTCATATCCGGTTTTATTATTCTGGATACAATTGTTTCAATTGCTGTTCTCGGTTGGTTACTTCTCAGCCCGGTTATCATTACTGTCTAACTAGTAAACGAAGTGTAAATTATATCATTCGGCATACACAATTATCTCGAGTATCTCTTTAGTGGCAGTGAATAGCGGACGTCTTACCGCTTTCCAAACAGAAGCATTCTCTAAAGCAGAACATTTTTCACTGGAAGTCTGGAGAAATGTCATCAACACAACGCAAAGATTATTCTGTAATAGTCGTTATTACGCTCTTGATCATTATGTTTGGCCTGTTGTGAGGGGAATCTAGACACATAGTAATCCTCGTATTAACGACACCTAGATGTACAACATGTTAATGTCTAACACTTTAAAATCTAATTTTCGTAAAGCGTACTCACGAGCTTGGGACATTCGTTCCACTGTTGAGAATATTTCTTCTTAATACACACCTATCACGATGTGCAGTTTCGGGATTAACGGTGAACCTAATAATATATCTCTTAAAATTAAAACGGTGAAACCCGCTGTCTTAAAATTGTCTTTATTCATGAATTACGTCGGCCAGAAAAAATTATATTCGGTGGGTTTACTTTTCCTATCACAAACTCCAATTAGCAATTATTCACTAGTTTTAAAGACAACTATCCGGCCCAATACATGCCATAATTGATCATTTGAACAAATATACAAAGAAAATCCATGCACGTCAATTTGTAATTGTAAAGAAACTAAATTGCAAGCATACGATCACTGTTTAGTATGTCTTAGCATATGTCTTTTACCCAATGTGACAGTAAATAACACAACCACTGAGATTCGGTTAAACACTTTCACAGGTTTTTTGCATACTTATGATAATCATCAGTAAGTGTGGCAATTAACCGTTCATCGCATTCAGGACTTATCAGCTTCCTTGATTGCAAAACCTCCATCCCATAAAATTTCCATAACCAGCCCACCGATTTCCTCCTCAATGGTTCCAGGTTTCATCAGAACTGATCTTAAATTCGTCAGTGCTGAAATGAACAAGTGATTGATCATGTTTTATTTGCCTACTGTTGTTGTCCAGAGACCCCGATATAATATGGCAAGTGAATGTTACTGTGTCACACGCACTAACAAATATAATACTACCGTGTTAACTCTTAATAGAATGATTCTACCCAAAATCAAAGATATTTACTGTTGTTTGTGCCTTCGTCTGTAAGTTTTTCTTCTGAATAAACGCAAATAATTTAAGTCTCACCTTTCACTTTACTACAACTTTGGTTACTTTACGTCAACCGACTACGTTAAACTGGAGAACTGTCGATTATTGTCTCTTAGATATCCAACTTATAGTTAGAGAACTGTGGTGTTTGAGTGAACTAATGATTCCTTAGTACTTGGTGAATGCTTGATTTAGAATTCCAAATACAGTACATGCGCTCGTGCTTATCTAGTACCTCTTGATCTAATCGTGTTATTTCTGGGATTCTTAGTTCATACTATAATTCAAATACTTCTAATCATCATAAGAACCCATCTATTTGTGGGAAAAAGTTAGTTATTTGTGTTAAATAAACAATGTAGAGACACCTAACCTCGATGCAAGACCTAAGGTTTTCGTGATGACCACCAAACATAAAGAAGCACGCTCCCTAAACATTAAATGAAGAACGAGCAATTTGCAGAGGATGAATTTGTAATTTTATTCACGACAATTTTACATCATTAGTAGTACATCACTTGCCATTCCGACAAAATTTGCTACAAATATGATAATATTTCTGCTCCATATTTGAGAAGTCTACATTTCCACGATGCGTCTACGAATTCACCGTCTACCGAGACATTTCCCCGAAACAGTCTACCAACTCTAGAAAACGTTTGCACATCTTAATCACTAACACAGATGTCCCCTTCATTTTTCGATTTTGACATTCAATACAAAATAATAGGAAATATAACGCCTATAAGAATTAAGGGAGTGAATGAATACTCAAGCTACAATGTTCTGACATTACTAAGATGTTAGCAGTCAACTCTTAACAATTCAATTTGAGTTGCTGCAAGCTTAGGCATCTAGCATTCACATAAGACAGTCAGTCAACTGTTTCCTGGTCCACTCACACAATACAGGACGATCACAAACACAACAATTCATTATAATTAGTAATAACAAGTGATATCTTAAAAGGTACACGCGAAATAACTTGTTTACCCCTCCTCGTTTGTGGTGTATATCAAATCAATGCATACCACTTCCGGATACTTTTCATTCAATCCAATCTCTCGATGAGCGGCCAAACAAAGTCAGTTCGGAATACGTATTTTGAATAAAACTCTCTCACCTGCTTATTGCGACCTAACACATTCAGTAATTCATTTTGAGATAATCCGGGCTGCAAATGTTTAATGAGACACTTACTTTTAGCGACCCAAGACCAAAGGCTGCCTATGTTACTGATAGTGAATTTTTGTATGATGGATCATTTAAATGCTGAACCACACCCTCAAACGTGGATGTTTGTTGCAGTGCAGGGTCTTATTATTCCCCAGAAGACAATCTCCTCGTATACTCACCATCATGTAAAGCAACTCGAATCATTAGGTTACAAACAAGACGCTTGGAATTACTTGTTGACATAAGGGTAGGCAGTCCGATGATTTCGCGAAAAGGATGAGAACTTGTGGGTTTCTTTTACAACCCAACGTAAGCTTAAGAACACCAAACACATGCTTCTAACGTTTATTATGATTTCCTGTACTATTGTATGAATAACTTGGCACACATAACCTGGATTTACAACATTTGGACTTCTTTTCTATGTTGAGGCGCGTTTAAAGTACTTTAAAAATTTTTTCAACCGTAGATCCGTTAATAGATCGATATCTGTTAAAAAATAGCTTAGGTTGACAGGGTCTATATTGGTCACAAAATATGAAACAATACACGATACCTATAGTGATCTGTCAATAAAATTGTTCGTCAAAATATCTAGCTCGACCACACCACATATATACTAGAAAGACAAGGCACATGTACGGCATCAAATACAAAATCTCTGTTACTTGAGTTGCTCAAGGTCGTGTTAGCAACACAGTGGCAATTTCAACTAGGTGGTGACTTTCGCACCATTTTCAGTTAAAATACTTATTATTGGAAGGCCCTTTTAAGGAGTTTAACTCTCTAGAGCCTGATGTCTTTGATAAGCGAGGTCGGGTCCTGTATGTTGTTTTGGTCATTGTACCTTATTTCATAGCTTTGCGTAAATATGTTTTTGAAAAACTTTCCAAAACACCCGGATGGAAGGTTTTGATTATGGATGATGCTGCCACACGTGTATTATCATCATGTTTCAAGATGCAAGATATAACTGAGTACGGTGTAACTCGTAAGTTTGTCTATAGTTTATGTAATTACTGAATGTCTAGTTGTAGAATCTCTAAACTGCAAGCGTCAAAAACTAAATATGCATGCAATATATATCATGAGGCCCCGAAGAGCAGTAAGTCAGTCGGTCTCCGTAATTTTTTTCAAGGAAATAGAATTGCTTTTACAAGACTTTCCTGAATCAAATCCAACTTATTCCGCTGCGCATGTTTTCTTTTTGTCTTGTAAGTCAAGTACATTTTAATATGCACTGTCAATTTAGGTGATAAATTTTCTGATAATATGACGTAATTCCAGGTCGAGTTATGTGTTTTACTCTCAAAACAACAAAAGTAGAAAAACATGGTCTAGGAGGTCTCACTAATTTTCTCCATTTGCAATACTACGGAAGTTTGATATTGGTTTGAAAAAAGTCGGCAGATGACACTAATTATTATTCATACTGAGCGTTTCAGTGATTTGTCGCTTGGTATGAGGACTAGGTTTCCTGTAAATAAATCTAATGAAGTATAATTTTTTAACCTAGTCTACTGTCTTAACGTTTTTTGTTGTTGATGATGGAGATGAACACATATTTAGAATAAGAGCAAATATTTTTGTGTGGATTCGGTATAAATAGATACAGAACTTCGACAGTTTGGCGTGTTTTTTAAGTGAATTGTAGACGAATAGGCGTAGTTTCAGCGACATTCAAAACCTATCGAAGCAGAAAAGGTAAACGTTTCACTATTTTCTTACGGCATGCAAATAAGACTCACATTTCCTCATTATTGTCTTGAGGAATGTCTCGTTTGTATCTCCTTTTCGGTATGGTTGGGATTAACATTAGAACAATCTATTACTTTATGTCTGAGATCGCTCCTACCAATAACAAACTATCCGTAGGTCGTCATTTTAGTGAATAATTGAAGGTTGGAGACCTTCGATGACATGGCTCAGAATCGATCACTATGGTGTATGTGTATGCACTCTCTCTCATCCCTTAAACTATGAGATTAAAATAGATTTATATCTTTCCACGAACTAACTCTCTCTTCCTGTACTATATCCTTATATGCAACCTTCATTTTATATATTACCACCATTAAATTAACTGCTTCTATGAATTCGGTGTTCATCTTGTTGTCTTAGTGAGGTATGACAACTTGGACTGCGTATATGTGCGTGGTCCTACGTTGTAGCTGGCTGACAATCATCGAATGAGAGACAAAGCTTTTTAATTATTTGCGGATAGTACTAATTGATTCGGTCTAGTTACCAGGTTCATTTACCCAATTCTATACAATGCTTTCTACATGAAGACCAATGACATATTCAAGCTGTTAAAAATGAAGTGGGTCAAGTAAATTTTGTACCTGAAATCTAGTAGCTAGAGCGATTGCATCAACAGCTTGCTCACCGCTACACGCTTGGCTAATTTGATCTCTATCTTACCAATATATTCCAGCGTGCCTGCTTTCATTATTAAAATAGGTTAACAACTCGGTTCATGTATTCCAGACGAAGATTTAACTTAGTAATATCAATGAGCTGAGCATTGAGTTATTCTCATTGATAAAATAAAATACATATCTTTAACATCCTTCATAGTGAGTAGAAAATTAGATCTCAACCTTTTACAATGTAGTGTAAGTCGCTCCATTATAAGACAAACGACTTTTCCCACTTATCATGAGTCTATGTAATGAGAAAAGTAATTCTGGACAACTTTATACTCATCGCTAAACTAAAAGCGTTTTGTTTTTATGAATGTACATTACTTTATTTAAAAGGCGTAAATCATCACTTTTGGGTTGCTTGCAAATGTTTTTATTGTGACAGAGCCTCTGTTCACAATTGTAATTAGGGCTTCGGACTGAATTACAAGGGCTCCACACGTCGGTAGTGAAAAAAAGCGGGATTATTCGTAGTCTGGTATGTTAACAAATACCATCAGCACATCACGTGGGAGATGAAGAATAACGACAGTATATACAATTTTAAAACGTTTTTGATTTAAATAACCCGACTTAAGTGTAATTGAAAGACAATAGTAGTCTTGATCGGTGTATACTTTTGGTGCACAATATAGTATTAAACGCTGAAGAAATTTCGTATTCGGTGGAAGCATTCAACTTTCCACCAGGTGGTGACTCGAGATCTTTTAGGTAGAACCGAGTTTCCACCATGGGCAAGCTGCTGTATAAGTTGGAAAATGGGGATATATGAAGTGAGAATAAAAAGTGATGAGCGATGTAGCATATAGAAAACAGTAATAATAATAAAGATGAAAATGAAATGTTTGAGTTCTGATCGGAGCGAGCATAGTATTTTGTGAAATATTTGTCATCTCATCACATTTGTGTGAGGGCTAGGATACTACCCGGGTGCCCAAACCGAAGCAGGTGGTTTTCTTAGGGAGCCACACCCGGAGCCTTTGACCTAAAGGTCTGATCCGCAAGCCCGTCGAGCAACGTCACGAGATGCAATCTCATGGTAGCCTGTGACCAACGATTAGTTCATACGCCATTTGTTCCCTCATGATCCTGGAGCCCATGTACACCATTGGTTTTGAATCAGGGTTTCCCAACTAGCCTAGGTGGACTCTCCATGTCCACCGACCCGGTTAAAGCGCTGGAGTTTCGCATTTCGTCCTCTCGAATTCGTAAACAACACTCCCTCCACGAGAAGTCAGTGAGTAGGACTTTTCTGGTAGAAGCTATATACGCGTGGCCATATGAGAGCATTTCGAGAGAGAAAGCGGACTTTCCCCACTTTCGATCGTACCAGGCTCTTTGGGGGGTTCACGTCGTTCATGTAACAACTATCTGAGGATAAGTCTACTTCCGATTGCGTCCAAGCTATTGGCTTCCGTCATACTTCGTAGGTTGTTCAAAACCCGAGAAAGACTGACTCGCGGGCAGCAGGTTGATTTTCGCTCTGGTCGGGGATGTGTCGATCGTAACTTTACCCTCCGCCAAATGTTAAAACACCGTCATACCTACCACCGACCAACAATCATAGTGTCTCTTGACATCAAGGTTGCCTTCGATTCATTAAACAGGACTGCTCTCTGGGATTGTCTATTGAAGAAGGGTGTGCCTAAAAGCCCTATATACAAACACCTTAGGTAGAGTGAGGATATATAACAACCTCTCTCCGCTGTTCCACTCAAGCAGTGGGGTTAGACAGGGTTGCCCAATATCATCATCCCTCTTGAACTTTGCCATCGATGATATTCTGGAAGCAGCTCTGATGGATGTAAGTAATGGCGGTGTGGATCCGTTGCCTGGAGAAAGACTTCTCGACTTTGAGTATGCGGATGATATTGTCTTACTGTGCGATAACGGCCAAGCCATGCAATCCGCACTTAATCAGTTGGCAATTAGTGTCCGTAGGTACGGTATGTGCTGCGCATCTTCTAAATGCGAAGTACTTTTACAAGGCTGGTGGGACCCTGATCCTGTACTCACCCTGGATGGTGAGCAGATAGAAGTAGTCGATAAGTTCGTGTATCTAGGTAGCTGCATAAGTGCTGGTGATGGTGTGAGCGATGAGATTAATGCAAGTATAGTGAAAGCCAGAGCGGCTTATGCCAATCTGGGTCATCTTTGGCGCCTTCGTGATGTCAGTCTGACTGTAAAAGGTCGGATCTACAACGCGTCGGTGAGAGCAGTTCTGCTCTATGCTTGTAAAACATGGCCTCATCGTGTTGAGGATGTTAAACGACTCTCTGTGTTTGGTCATCGTTGTCTCCGAAGGATTACTGACATCCAGTGGTAACACCATGTTAGTAATGCAGAGGTTCGGCATCGTGTGTTCGGGCGCAGAGACGACAATCCAATTGGTGTCACTATCTTAAAAAATCGACTTCGGTGGCTTGGATATGTTCTATGAATGTCGTCCCAGAGAATTCCTCGTAGTATTCTGGTTGGAAAAAGCGGAGAGGTGGTCAGTGTATGACATGGTGTCGTGGTATGAAAGAAAGCTACACAGGACTGGCTTCTGTTGGCCCTTCACGACTCCCTGGTTGGGGTTCGAGAGATGGTGCGAAACAGTGGCTAGTGACGTTATCAGATATGGCTCAGAATAGAAGCCAGTGGCGATCCTGCTGTAACCTTCCTTTACTTTCTTCATAAAAAGTGACTGTATCTTTAAGTGAAAGTACTTTTCTGATTCCCCCATTATTATTATTATTTCACTACCATACAATAGCTTTTGGTTGTTATTGTTTGTTTTCTTTTTCTGTTTACACGCACCTTACATTATTTATCTCTTCCCACTCTCATTATTTTTGTGTGGTGCCCCCTTGTACCAATATTTGTGTTCAAATAAATAACAAATAATTTGAAAAAAATACTTTGGGTACCCTATGATATACTCTCAAATGGAACATTACAAAACAATATCCCACTTAACATTTCTTACTGCCACTGAATCTGAGTCATGCAAATTAATGTTATGCACAATATTTATAAAAGGTGTATATCAGCTCATAATAGTTACTCTGGTGGAGTTTTAGTTGTCCTTGTCTTACATCTTTGCCCTTTGTTCCAATCGAATGGTTGGAAATGAAATCAAAAATACAAATGCATTATTGTAAAAAACATTTTTGGACTGATTTTCTGAATGTTTCTCTCCCTAATTTCCAACTTTACACTTATTTTTTAATAAAGATATATTTCGTTTGCCTTACGTCTTGCTCCTGACATGTTTTCATACTTCCATTTCAATAAGACCAATGAAACAAACAATACAGAAGCGATCACAGCAACCTATAGGCGTTTATCACCGCTGTTGCTAAATAACGATAAACGTTATCCTGTTGATGTACTAGGCAGTAGTCCTCTCTGAATTACACGATGGCTGTGAGTTACGGTCGATGAGAGTGCAAGAAATGCGTGAACTGCATGATTTTGATTGTAGCTGTTTCCAAACCATTACTCGCGTATCATGGAACGATAGAGTGAGCAATGCAAAGGCTAGACGTACGTCACTAGGCCAATATGGTAAGTCGGCTTACGAGGCTGCGATTCTTCTACCTGAGGTTTCTGGGTCATATGTTACCAATTCACGAAACCATTGATTATTGGACTGAACCATGTTGATAGGTACAGAATATCTGGTTGAGGTCTGCATAGTACTATTTCCCTATATTATCTTTCTAGACATAGTTCCCCATAACTACTATCGTTATCATTTTTGTTGCTTCTTTTCTCTTTTCGACTTTCATGGCTATACTTTGTATTACTTTTGATTAGAAAGCAATGTTCACATGTAAGTTAGAGAATCACTTGTATCTTTCTTATCCTTAAGATTTATAATCTTTTAAATATGAGATTAAGGGCTTATTTGGATTTCTATTTCCAGCTTGTCCGAACGATTTGCTTAATCAGATAATTGCTTCACAAGCAGTCCGACGTATTATGAATATGATTCAATTGTCGGTGGATTTTATTCCCTTGGAATCTCATCTGTATTCACTAGAAGCCACGGAAAGTGCTCAACTTTACTTTTTGCCGTCAGATATTGTTCATGACAAACTCAGTCGAATCGACCAGATTGCAGAACAACTTGCTTCTGTTTGCATAACTTTGCAAGAGTATCCAAAAATTTGTTACCAAAAGTAAGCGCACTATATGGACTTAATTTTGTTTGTACAAGCTTGTCTATCTGGTTTTAGTCATAATCCTCAGTTTTTATAGTGATCACTCATTACATAGTTCAAAGTTTTTTTTACCAAATAACCTTTCGATGCCATTAACATTCAACCAATAAGGAGTCCTCCAGACAATTATTATTATTTTTTCAACCTTAGTGTTAACGGACCCGGTACTACTCTAACCAGTTCAAGTCATCCTCTAAGTGTCACATTGTAGAGGTGTCTAATTTTCCGAATGTGGGTATGATATTCTTTGTGTATGCTGATCTAACATCTTTCACCATTCATTGTTGTCAACAGTATAGAATAATCTCTGAACAGATATAGTAAAGAGATATAAAGCTAACTACTAATGATGATATGATCAAGACGGCCTAGTTGAGATCTTTGGTAATATTTGGTGTACCTTCTAAAAAGGTTCTTGACTTGTTTTACGACTCATATGGTCGGGCCGTTTATTATCGGAACAGTTGTATTCTCTAGTCCAATTATTGACATTCGCTTATATTGCTTGTAGGCCTGATGACACGGGGACCAATGAACAGCGACCGAGACCTTATCACCTATTTGTCCTCGAACTCTTTCCAACTCAGTATCTGATTACAAGATGAAGTTAGCAAGGAAATATCTCTTTGGAATCATGAGCTGATCTAAGTTGGAACGCCATCAAAAAGCTGAAAAAATTGGATGGCCGCTTCATCCTAGTATGGGACCTTCCCAGCAGTGTACATCCACGATTCCGCACGCAGGAATCTAACGCAGGACCTTATGTTTCGTTTGCGAACGCCTAATTTTTAAACCACTGAGCTGGTATCAAACGGTGTTAGTGACTAGTGAGAAGCTGCGAACAGTGGAGCCAATCCGTGTCGAGTGTGAGGCAGTTACCCACTAGGGACAGTGAAAGATGGTCGCACTGTGTCGTGAATTGTCTGAAGTTAGACATCAACACCGATGGATGCCAGCTCAGTGGTTTAGAAATTAAGTTAGGTGTTAAGTGTTTGCACACGAGATCTAGGATCTTGGGTCCGGTTCCTGTGTGTGGGGTCGGATGTGCACTGATGAAGAATATCATACTAGAACGGAGCGGCCGTCCAATGCTCCCGGGTTTTTAGTGATGGTCTGATATTGATCGCTTAACGATTTCCTTTAAGTACAATGATCTTCGCAACCACATACTGAAAATATACCCATTGTTCTCCATTCTTCATGATTCATACAATGATATACCTTATCGCACAACAGTACAAATAGGAAATTACGATGTAAACACAGCTCATCCATAAGTAATACAAAAACGGAAGGATAAGAAAATAATCACTGATAAGTTTGGGACATTAATATGTTTAACAACAGTTCGCTGCTCAGATGAAAGCTTATAAATAGGAGGATATAAATATACAGAAATCCAAGCGACGTATTGCCATGCAATAAAAGTGTAAATAATAATCTTCCGTAGGATAGTTCTGATAGTTCATCTGTTCCCAGATGCTCTTTAGTGTGATTGGTTTAAACAACACAACATCATATACGCAGGCATGGGATGGTCTTAGTTATTCGAGATCTGTAGTGTTATGTTTTTCTATCTACCTGTTTCTTATTTGGTTATCTCTTCCAGCCAGATTGTTTATTTTATTTATTTATTTATTTAAACACATAAATATTGGTACAAGGGAGCAGTAAATATATATATATGCGCCACACAAAATAATGATAATGGGAAGAGAAAAAAAGGAAGATAAGGAGCGTAAAATAAAAAAAGAGGAACAATAACGACCAGATTAGTGTAAGGTAGTGTAATAATAATAATAATAATAATAATAATAATAATAATAATAACAATAATAATAATAATGGGGGGGGAACGGAAAGGTACAACCAGAAAAGTACTTTCACTTAAAGATACAGTCACTTTTTATGAAGAAAGTAAAGGAAGGTTACAGCAGGATCGCCACTGGCTTCTATTCTGAGCCATATCTGATAACGTCACTAGCCACTGTTTCGCACCATCTCTCGAACCCCAACCAGGGAGTCGTGAAGGGCCAACAGAAGCCAGTCCTGTGTAGCTTTCTTTCATACCACGACACCATGTCATACACTGACCACCTCTCCGCTTTTTCCAACCAGAATACTACGAGGAATTCTCTGGGACGACATTCATAGAACATATCCAAGCCACCGAAGTCGATTTTTTAAGATAGTGACACCAATTGGATTGTCGTCTCTGCGCCCGAACACACGATGCCGAACCTCTGCATTACTAACATGGTGTTACCACTGGATGTCAGTAATCCTTCGGAGACAACGATGACCAAACACAGAGAGTCGTTTAACATCCTCAACACGATGAGGCCATGTTTTACAAGCATAGAGCAGAACTGCTCTCACCGACGCGTTGTAGATCCGACCTTTTACAGTCAGACTGACATCACGAAGGCGCCAAAGATGACCCAGATTGGCATAAGCCGCTCTGGCTTTCACTATACTTGCATTAATCTCATCGCTCACACCATCACCAGCACTTATGCAGCTACCTAGATACACGAACTTATCGACTACTTCTATCTGCTCACCATCCAGGGTGAGTACAGGATCAGGGTCCCACCAGCCTTGTAAAAGTACTTCGCATTTAGAAGATGCGCAGCACATACCGTACCTACGGACACTAATTGCCAACTGATTAAGTGCGGATTGCATGGCTTGGCCGTTATCGCACAGTAAGACAATATCATCCGCATACTCAAAGTCGAGAAGTCTTTCTCCAGGCAACGGATCCACACCGCCATTACTTACATCCATCAGAGCTGCTTCCAGAATATCATCGATGGCAAAGTTCAAGAGGGATGATGATATTGGGCAACCCTGTCTAACCCCACTGCTTGAGTGGAACAGCGGAGAGAGGTTGTTATATATCCTCACTCTACCTAAGGTGTTTGTATATAGGGCTTTTAGGCACACCCTTCTTCAATAGACAATCCCAGAGAGCAGTCCTGTTTAATGAATCGAAGGCAACCTTGATGTCAAGAGACACTACGATTGTTAGTCGGTGGTAAGTATTGGTAAGATTAGCTCAGACCTGGGCACGATCAGATCCCAGATAGGCACTCCAAAAAGAGCGATTGTCTTGTACACATCCACGACAGGGGTGGCTGATCGCGGTGTGATCAATCTGAGTCCAAGCTTGAGATGCAGAGGGAGGACGCCAGGTGGCACATCGGCAATGACTGTGCTGGAAGTTAGTGCCATCCGGAAACAGGTTGTGGTCTGTGCACATTTGCAGTAGACGGTCCCCGTTATCTGTCCTGCACCCAACAATTCCCCATCGGTCACCCAAACGACTCTCTTCTATGCTTAGACGCACGACCTGAGCATTCTAATTCTCCGACTAGTACAACAATATCTGTCGAACGTACTTTCTGGAGAAGAGCAGTTAACTGGTTGTAGAATTCATCTTTGGTTGCATCTGGGCTGCAATCTGTTGGGGTATAAGCGGAGATGACGAAAAGACATCGCTTCTCACGCCGATTTCTTCTCACTTTGATGGAACTTTCTAATCTAACAGCACATAACCGACTGTTAATGGGGATCCAATCGATTAGGGCTGCCTCAGCTCTAGCGCTTAGTGCGACACCAACACCAGCAAGACCAGTCGAAGATGTCACATGGTCCCCGGATAAAACAAGCTTTTCGAAGCGACAGATGGAGAGCGAATTTGTAGTACTTCACTGGAGTCTTGAATACGGGTCTCGGATAGACAACAGATGTCGATATTAAGACTTTCCAAAGACATAGCCAGCCCTATCTGTTGTCCGACCCACATAAGTGTGTGAATGTTAAAGGCAGCCAGTTTGAATGATGCACGTGGTTTCAGAAAAACTGCTTCCGTATTCGTATTTGGTGGTAGCATTCAATTTTCAACCAGTTAGTGACTCAAGAACGTTTAGATAGAACCGAGTTTCCACCATAGGCGAGCTGCTGTATAAGTCAAAAATAAGGATGCACAATGTGGGAATAAAAGAGAGTGAATAAGTGACGTGGTAAATAATAACAATAATAATAATTTGAATTCTTTGACTGTTAATCAAAGCGTGAATTGAATTTTCAGTTAATATCGTCATTTTCGTTATATTTGTGTGTGGGCTGTGATACTGCCCGGGCGCCCAGACCGAAGCAGGTGGTTTTCTTGGGGGACCATACCCCGAGCCTTTGACCTAGAGGTCTAATCCACAAGGCAGTGGAGCAACATCACAAGATGCAGTCTCATGGTAGCCGGTGACAAACGATTGGTTCATACGCCATTTGTTCCCTCAGAATCCTGGAGCCCATGTGTACCATTGTTTTGGGATCCGGTTAAAGCACCGGACATTCGCTTTTCGTCTCATTTTCCTAAACAACACCCGCGCCACGAGAAGGCATTGAGTACGACCTCATTGGCAGAGGCTGTATACGCGTGGCCGTGTGAGAGCATTTTGAGAGGGCGGGCGGGCCCACCCCACTCTCAGTCATACCAGAGCCTTTGTGGGCGGCCAGATTGTTTATTACATAACAGACGGACATATGATGTAAGCTAACAGTCTAAAAGTGATTGGGAACTGATGTGTGCTCCAGTAATTGTTGCAGGTTTTGTGTGGGCCAGCTTTAACGAAAAAAACGATAATTACTTCATTCCAAGACGACAAGGTTATAAAGATCAATACCAATGTAGTATTACCACTGATGGAAAAATGAGTGAAGATCGAGAGTGTAATTCAGAAAGAAAAAGTGAACTGCGGGGAATAGAAGATAAGGAGCATTCTTATAACTCATTAACTAGAGGAACAAATCTGTGCCATTGCGATCGATTCGAAGCTATCTCTTACAACGTATCCAACCATTAGTGATGGTAATTGTGTGGACCCCAACCAGGTGGTCTGGATCTGCCAACATGGTTAATACCAACAGTCAGTGATTGCATAAACTATTGCTACATCTTCATTTGGTTGCCCCTAATTTTCTACTGACCTAGGTTACACGAGCCGACAACACCTGTCATAGTAGGCGGTAGTTGGATACTCATAGTATATATCCCAACTACAGTCTACGAAGGTTTTACCATTTTTATCTAGTACCCTTCATTTAACCTTAACACGCTCACTCAGTGGTCCTAATGTGCGTAAGCTATACGTCGAAGGCATGCACGCTTCAAAGCCATAAAACAGAACAAACTGTCTCAAAGTACACTCATCTTTTAGTTGACAAGCGGACATCTTCTGGAGCGAAGTAGTTGACACACTCAGCTACTCCCTCTGGGAAAAAGATAGCCGTATAAGATTGAGAGCTCTTAGACCATCATGATTCTTTGGTTTGGGTCTTAAGGATAATTGATTTAAGCGGCTTAAAGCATTACCAAATATGTCTGAATATAAGCCGGCGAGAATCTTATTGTTGTTTTCTATTACAGTTTTAATAACAATTGGTTAAACCTTAACTAAACGAAATTTATCTCAGTTATATTTTCAACTAAAAATCCTTTATTAAATATTGTTCCGATCATTTTAAAACCTCATCCTCTTATATTTATTCACAATATTATCATCGTATTCTTTTGTTGTGTTCTGAGCTGAATGGTTAGTTCGTAAGGTCTTTGTTGTTTCCTGTTTGTATTCCATGTTTTTGATGTTGTTTAGGAAGATAAATGGAACTTCGAAATTAAACCGCCCATCTCAAGGAGTGCAACGTTACTAAAATAAAATAAATAAATGTTTCTTTCCGTATTTACCTGTTTTTACATTTGGTGTGGTTTCGCTCTCTTATTTTGAAGTACAGAAGCTTCAATTGATTTTCTCAGATTCTTTGGATCAGATAGTGTAGTTATAATTAAGCAGTACGGTCGTCGGAATCTAGTCATATATATTCTTTATTTTGAATGGTAGTTTATTTCATTCCCCGAATTTTACAGGACAGAGAGTAACCTCGAATTGGCCCGTCTTGTGCAAGTGAAGTTAGATACCTATAAGAGCGATAACCCGATTTTGGGTCAGGTGAGTTTTGAATTTCAAATTTTGTTGTGTTACGACATGTGATTAATATTCATAACCGCATCATCTACAAGCAACTTGATAAAGCACACAAATTGGTTTGACTGAGGATAACAAAAAGTCTATTTTCCTATGGAAACATAGAGTTATTTTATACCTTTGAAGGAGGCCCTCTTCTGCCTACATCTGGTTGTTGTTCCGATAAAAGTGGGAATAAACCTGATGTGAACATAAAAATGAAGAAGTTATGACAAACACCGGATGCTACTTTTTGGAACGTTACTTCGCTTAATTCAAGGCTTATAAAACACTAACATTTAGTTTTGTCCCTAGACTGTTCTATAACCCATAAGCTTTATTATGATGTATGAACCACTGTCATATCCCTTTATGCTCCAAAGCTATTGTAATTTAAACGTAACATTTTGTAGTCTACTTTTCCTACCCCTAATGCCCAGTTTAGAAATAATTGTATTTTTCTGGTTGTTTGTGCGTTGTAGACTTGTTAGTCATATATTTATTCATGTTTATTTTTACACTAATCTAAATCAGGAATCAATCTGACTCTTCTCTCTCGCTTGTCGATCAGTTAAGCGATATAATAGTTTTCGTCCCTCTGCCTAAGGCCGTTAGCCTCAATTCGAACTCATGCATTTCTAGTATCAAGGTTGAACCAGTTAGCCTATCGTGATAAGTCCTTAACCTATATAGAGACAAGTCCTCTCCTGTATATTGTTGGGTAGACAGATCAAGGACGTAACAGAACTGCTTCAATCGGTAACGAGGGTTTACCTAGGGGAGTCGGAGAGTCACGATTCCAGACAACTGATTTATTAGAACTACAAAGGATTTCAGAAATGCTATTGGTTTTAATTCCGGTAAAATTGGTTACTTATCAGGTTCCCCTTCGTCCGACCATTCCCAAATTGTGAACTCAAATGCTTGTCTTAGAAAACCGTTTGTATTTTTTGGGTTCATAAAATATTTATTTCCATTTGAGAAGTTGGTTTTTAAATAACTAACAGATTTTTAGATGATACCATAAACCTTCAGTTTGCGTCATTCATCGGTAACAAAAAGCTCTACCGGCCTGACGACTAACAATACGAAGAATTGATTTAAATTCTAATCTAGCTTCATTATAAATGACAAGTGTTTAATAATCTAAATTTTTTAAAGGTGATTTTATGGTGGTTTATATTGTTTTTGGTAGCATTTTCCTCGCTAAAATCTGTCATTCCTGTGATTTATAACTTGAATGTTTTATAATTCGAAGGTTTATTCAGTATCGTCGTTACAGCAAAACAACATTCATGCAGTTATTATTCATGAAAATGTTTTTATTGGAAATAACAAAAACTGTGTTTGTTATTTTTCCAGCAAACGTCTTATGAATTATGGTTCGTTTCTTAGCTTAATTTATTTCGGAGTGAAAAGTATCCATACACTTGATCAAACCTTCTATTTTGTAAGCTTGAACTTTCCTTCTTTTCTCTCTCTCTTTCTCACGCTTCAGGGCTCACATAAAGATCAAAGTCTTTTGTTGATTGTTGACCGAAGTTTGGATCCCGTTACTCCTCTTTTGCATGAATTGACATTACAGGCTATGTGCTATGATTTGCTCACTGTGGAGGAAAACACAATCGAGTAAGTTTTCAAGATTGATTTATTCCCTATTTATCCGCGTATACTTTTGACTCCTAAAGATTGTCACAAATTGGAAAGGAAAAATCATAATCAACATGAAGCCTAGCATAAATGGTAGTCAACCGGAGTTGCCATCATCACATCAGCATGGTGATGTGGAATGAACAGGATGTATTGTAAATTAGTAGGAATAATAGTAGTATCAGTGATGGTAAATAAACTAAACACTGAGAATATTGCTGGAATAGGAGATATGACTATATATGTGGAGGAATATTGAAACTGAATATCTAATGGAAACAAAGAGTCAATGCGTCTGAGCCACTACTATTGATTTTAAGCCATTTCAACCACTGATTATGGTTACGGCGCGGACCCCAATCAGATATTCTGTACATATCAACATTGCTCAGTCTAATAGTCAATGGCTTCGTTAATTGGTGGCATGTTTTAGATTGACCGTCCTTAGATTTCTTTCAACATTGTAAGGATTAGTTGGGTAGATGTAACATATAACCCAGAAATAAGGGAAAATTCACATCAATGTCTTTATTAAACAGAACTGTTTGTCTAAATATTCTAAGTGAATAAATGAATCTCGTGCTTGGAAATCAATTCATAAGAAGTTGTCGTACTACATTGTGATTTAGATGGTAGTTGGAGGTAGTCAACAGGAAACCATGGACCCGGGTTTCGTGCTTCTTGGCACTCATCAGCAAGGTGAACCTGTAATCTTGAGGGAACTGGTGCTCCCTGGCGGATTCGATCTTGTGTCGCCCAGCTTCACAGTCAGAGACGTTACCACTGAGCTATCCGAGCATGCTGGGTTTCGTTCTGGTCGAGGATGTATTGATATCTTCACCCTCCGCCAAATGTTAGAACATCGCCATACTTATGAAAGGCCAACAATCGTAGTGTTTCTTGAAATCAGGGCTGCCTTCAATTCGTTGGATAGGACTGTTCTCTGGGATTGTCTATTGAAGAAGGGTGTGCCTAAAAGCCCTATATACAAACACCTTAGGTAGAGTGAGGATATATAACAACCTCTCTCCGCTGTTCCACTCAAGCAGTGGGGTTAGACAGGGTTGCCCAATATCATCATCCCTCTTGAACTTTGCCATCGATGATATTCTGGAAGCAGCTCTGATGGATGTAAGTAATGGCGGTGTGGATCCGTTGCCTGGAGAAAGACTTCTCGACTTTGAGTATGCGGATGATATTGTCTTACTGTGCGATAACGGCCAAGCCATGCAATCCGCACTTAATCAGTTGGCAATTAGTGTCCGTAGGTACGGTATGTGCTGCGCATCTTCTAAATGCGAAGTACTTTTACAAGGCTGGTGGGACCCTGATCCTGTACTCACCCTGGATGGTGAGCAGATAGAAGTAGTCGATAAGTTCGTGTATCTAGGTAGCTGCATAAGTGCTGGTGATGGTGTGAGCGATGAGATTAATGCAAGTATAGTGAAAGCCAGAGCGGCTTATGCCAATCTGGGTCATCTTTGGCGCCTTCGTGATGTCAGTCTGACTGTAAAAGGTCGGATCTACAACGCGTCGGTGAGAGCAGTTCTGCTCTATGCTTGTAAAACATGGCCTCATCGTGTTGAGGATGTTAAACGACTCTCTGTGTTTGGTCATCGTTGTCTCCGAAGGATTACTGACATCCAGTGGTAACACCATGTTAGTAATGCAGAGGTTCGGCATCGTGTGTTCGGGCGCAGAGACGACAATCCAATTGGTGTCACTATCTTAAAAAATCGACTTCGGTGGCTTGGATATGTTCTATGAATGTCGTCCCAGAGAATTCCTCGTAGTATTCTGGTTGGAAAAAGCGGAGAGGTGGTCAGTGTATGACATGGTGTCGTGGTATGAAAGAAAGCTACACAGGACTGGCTTCTGTTGGCCCTTCACGACTCCCTGGTTGGGGTTCGAGAGATGGTGCGAAACAGTGGCTAGTGACGTTATCAGATATGGCTCAGAATAGAAGCCAGTGGCGATCCTGCTGTAACCTTCCTTTACTTTCTTCATAAAAAGTGACTGTATCTTTAAGTGAAAGTACTTTTCTGGTTGTACCTTTCCGTTCCCTGATTACTAGCACATTACCTTACACCAATCTCTTCGTTATTGTTCTCTGTTTTTTTTTGTTGCGCTCCTTAGCTATTTTTTTGCTTTGTATTCCTCTCGAATTTTCATTGTTTTGTGTGGCGCATATATATTGGCGCTCTCTTGTACCAATATTCATGTGTCCAAATAAATAAATAAATAAATAAATAGCTATCCGAGCCGTGACTAACCTCCTATAGGACTGAGATGTAATCACATTGATTGATCACTGGGTGGTGATCAATGTCATGTGTGTCAAGTCCTTATTAGTGCAGTTCGAATGCTATCGAACATGTTGCAATTTGGCCACCAGTCTAGGTGACTCGACACTGCGGGCACTATGTATTGAGACTAGATGGTGGTTGGAGGTAGTCAACAGGAAACCCTAGACCTCCAACCACCATCTAGTCTCAATACATAGTGCCCACAGTGTCGAGTCACCTAGACTGGTGGCCAAATTGCAACATGTTCGATAGCATTCGATCTGCACTAATAAGGACTTGACACACATGACACTGATCACCACCCAGTGATCAATCAATTGTGGTACTACATTGTATCGTGTTTATATGACTTTGTTCAAAATTGTATCAAAGTTATGATTGAGTCGTTCGAGTACTTAGTTTTCAACTTCTGGGTCATATTTTAAAAACCCGCCTCACGTACCTGAATTTGTGTAGCCAAATTTTATCCCCAGCTCTCATAAAAAACGTAGATCAAAGTTTATTATTATGTTCGTATTCTATGGAAAATTCTAACTTGCCTGCAGTACATCACATAATATCTTATTCACAGATTTCTTTTGTTTTACAAACCAGATTTAAAAAACCTGCAATCCTAGATGAGTGATGCCAATCTAAAGCAGTTGGTTGGTGCGATCGAGTCGCATATCACAATCGTTACTTTTTTCTTCGAACATAAATTTCTTTCTATTTGACTCCACATTCATACATTTTCATTGAGGTCACTCACTACCCGGTCTAAAACTAGATATTGACATTTAGTGCATAAATATATGCTAAATCGATTGAGCCTTCAATACTCAGGTTTTATAATATACCTTCGCCTTCAAATATAGCCTTTATTGATTTGTGAGAATTTTAGTCATGATGCATCCATTCTATTAAGGTGAAACATTTTAGATGAACTGTACCTGGACCAAATATAGTTCTCCGGGAACTGCAACATAAATTCACCGTTTGAAATATTGTTTAGTGAAACGTTTTGTCGTACATGATATGGGTTGACGACTTTAAAGACAACAATATGCTGCGTATAATTTGAGCACTCGAACGCTAGAACCCTCCCAAGTTGCAAATGAGAAGACAGAAGACAAGTAAAAGGAATGCTATTCCAAACAGTATCAATTATGGTACAAAGCTGTCAGATATTTATAGTTTTTAGTAAAAAAGAAATCATCATTTTAGTCCTCCAATCCGCATACAGGGGGTCATTAGCATCTGTCAAATAGGGAAGCTCCACGTAGTGATTCTGGAATATTCTCCCAAAAGATGACTAAATGAAATATATTCGGCTCTTTCTGATCTTTCTAGTGCTTCATCGAGTTCAGCCGTGAATTATCTTGACCAAAATGTAATTTCGACTAAATTGAAGTAAACTTATTAACACTAAAAAAAGCTGAAATTGTTACCTTAGTTCGAGGAGTCGAATCAGGCTAATGAAGCTGTGAGAGGGTCTGTTTCAATCATAGACTTCACTATATACCATCTTTGTTTTTACTGTATTTGTTATGCTATTTTATTGTTCAAATTGTATTTATCTTTTGAATATAAAGGTATAGTGGAAATCGCAAAGCAAATGTTGCTGATGGCGATGCACTGTGGAAAGAATTTCGACATCAGCATGTTGCAGATGTCACGAGGTATGTTATTCCATTAGTTGCATTAATTTGAAATTCGGATTATTGATATAATCTGTATTGTGAATCAGCTACTATTGAACAGTCCCGACACGATCTGCCCAATTAAAGACCCTTTAAGAATTTGTATTTACCAAAGGAATATTCTCAGCTCAATTGTTTGTATAATTAGATTAACCTAAACAGTAGATATATATACAGCGGATCTAATTACTCATAATAGTTCGCGCTCACTTCCATTGAAATCATTATACAATCTTGTCTGTCTCATTTGGCATATCCATCATAAAGTAAACGCTAGTTGTTACATATCATCATTATTCTGTATCATTATACTAAAAAGGTCTTCAAATCTAATCACGTTTTATCTACAACTGATCCCGTGATAAATTTAAATAAATCCAAAAAGACAACATTTGGAGAATAAATTCATTATGTTTCAAGGCTTCCCATTAGCTGCAAACGGAGTGAATTCCTATTATTCTGCAAATCTTATCCTATTCATTTTATTTTAACCGGTCACGTTTATCATGTGTGATCTGCTGCTTCGTCTTTAAATTAGGTATTACGCAATGATATTGCATTCTGCATAACATTTGTTCTTTGATTTTCACCAATTATATATTTTGAAAATCGATACTTTTTAAAAGAATTATAATTTTATTTAGTGAGTAACCAGAATGTTTTATTTGTGTTCAGCATTATTTTCACTTGTTTCCCATTATTGATATGGTCAGTCTCTGTTAATATATGATCTTCTGTTTAGTTATCTGTATTTTGTCATAAATTACATTCTTATACTATTTAGTAGTAACTGATAAGGCAATCAGTAATGGATGGGTTTTTTTTACTACAAACAATAAATCAATGTATCTGTTCTCCTAACCAATCATGATGTATCATTTAAAACTTTTAATTGTTACTATCCTCAATACTTTTCAATTGTGAAATACATATTGTGTTGTTTCATTCAATTTATAGGGCACTTCCTCAACGTGTTCGTGAATTTGCTGAAAGTAAAAAACAATTTGTTGAATTCGAAGAAGCTAATTTGGATAATGTTCCATCAAAAGAAGATACAAATAAAAATACTGTCGATATAAGAGATTTATCTGATCTTATCAAACGTATGCCACAATATCAAACAGAATCGGCTAGTTATGCAGCTGCTTATCATATTGTTGAGACTTGTATGGCTACATTCAAAAAAGGTGTTGATAAACTATGTGAAATTGAACAAGTAATTTCACTTAAAAGAGAGTAGTTTTAGTATTGTGAATATTGTGATTTTTCCTTTTTGCTGGTTAGATGCGGCTAAAATCAAGTGAATTTATCATGACAGTATCATTAAAAATAACTATAGGACTCTCATTTGATGTCTAGAAATATCAGTATTTAGATTAGTTGAAGAGGGAAGGGTAGGGAGGCACTTGAGCGCACTAAATTGATTCTAACCAGTGGCTTTCTATAGTTTATTTGGAAAGATAGGATTATATTTATCATTAACACAGGTATGTTATTTAATTTGATAAATTGTTAGAAAATCCTTAACTCAATAATTGTTTGACCGTAGTTGAATGGAAATAAACTAAAAAAAGTCATGGAGTGTTATGACTATTTTCATTTTCTTTAAGAGATTTACTGGACAATATAATCTGGACACTTGAATCCATTATCAGAACTCAATCTCGTTTATCCAAATACATAATGGAAGTGCGTAACGGTAAACAAAATCACCGAACTTGAAACTATTCAGTTCCAAGTTGTTTACTCAGCATCTGTCTTAGTAACATTCTGTAAATAACTGTATTGGGAAGTTATCACAGTAAATTGTGTTAGTAAGCGATGACGACTCTCTACACTTATTGCATAACTTTTTATAGATGTATTTCGAGAAGTGAGTCTTACTTTCTGTGATCTTTTGTCGATTTCACCTACATATACGTTGGTTCACTAAAATCACGTAAGTAAAGTAATGCTGTTAATCGGTGACACCAAAAATATTTCGTCTAGGGTTTATTTTTTCCCAGAGATATCCTGTTTCAACTCCTGTAGATCTGTCAAGTCAGTCTGTATAAAGTCAAAGTATATACAAATACAACCTGGTTTTCATAAACTTAATTTGTTCCTAAAACTTAGTGTTATTTTAACTAGTAGAGAAATGTGTAGTTTAATTATTAGGGCAAAGGAAATAAAACATACACATACTGAATACTGATGGGAAATGAGACAAATGAACAATGTCTAAGTTATTTTTTGAATGAGATTACAATATTTATCGATTGATACTCACGCAAAGAGATACCAAACTGGTACGTGTTTAAAGTTTATTGTGATTTGCAATTTATTTAATTTTGGGCGTAACTCACATTATACACATGGAAAAACATTCAAGTTGTTTACTAAAGGATATTACTTCAAAAATAAACCGTGTATATTATTCCATTTTGGCATTGGTTATTTTAATATTCTCTACTTCTCACTTGCCTGTAAATATGATGATGGATAACAAGTTAGGATTTTGCTAGTAATAAATTTAGTGGTAAGTTTAACCAACGAGTAAACAAAACAAAGGTAATCTAAGTTAAAGGCCTCTAATATTATTGCTATGTGGTTGTCACATGAGAAACTGTACATTATTTCATTGACTGCAGTTTTAGAACATATTTGAAAAAGTGATTAAGGAAGTAATGTCTTTTTGGATTAATGTTAAACGTCTGGAAACGACATTTTTGCCAAGTAAAAGCAGTGTATCAAGACTACGAGGGAGTGTTTTGAAGTTTTCAGTACGGTCTCACTATCTTACGAAATATGAAATCACAATCACCTACTTATAGAATACGTAGAGCTATGACTTAGTAGCTAAAGCGTTTGACTTTCAGCCACTAAGTCCCAGATTTGAAGTCCACTTCACTCTATCTACTTCGATTTGAGCGACCAGGTACCATCGTAAGCTCTCACACCTACACTGTCTCATACCCAACTATCTGATGAATGAATTAATAGGATAACAACATATAAATCACATTATGGTTCTCAGTCAACTGGTAATGAGAATACTAAGTTCCATTAAGCGTTCTTATGCTTTTGAAATATAATGATAGATGAAAAAAACACGAAGAACTACTAATACACAATCGAGTCCTGGATTTATAAAGAACTACAAGTGATTATCTCCCAATAGAGATAACTGTAACAATGTATAGCGGTTTCTCCTTCTAGTTTCCACAAATACATTTTTCTTAATTTACCAAATGTCTACACCGCCTATGCCCATCGATTCCGAAGTCTTCTTATTCCCGTTTGAACATACAGGACATAAAATTCTTATTGCATATATATTACTGAGGGAAAAAAGAAAGTAGATATTAGTGTAGTCACTATTTATTAGTGTACTTATGGTAATTCTCTGAATATTCTCTTTTAAAAGGATCTTGTGATGGGTGAGAATGCAAAAGGAGAACCTATAACGGATCCTATGCGTGTATTGGTTGATATTTTCAAATACGATTTTACAACAGTGGAAGAACGTTTACGTCTTTTACTTATCTTTACTCTTATAAAAGGTAACATATATTCATTCTTTATCTTCTTCAAAACGGATTTATACAATCTCACTAATATTTGTTATTGCAATGTCCGTATCAATGAATTAACCTTTTTCCACCTATTTTCATTTTGGATAATAAATGTTTTAAGGAATATAAAAAAAATTATCGCTTCATTCAACCTTCAAATAAGTTAACTTGGTCCGGTATAATTTAGAATGTGAAATCTGTCGATTAGCCATGTTTGAATTTCCTTTCAATCTTTGTGCGTGTTGATGGGTTCATATATATATATACAAGCACATAAATATATGCATACATACACATTTCATCACCCTAAATACACAAATAGGACTATTCGTCTTAATCTAAGTAGATTTGCATTCAATGAAGCTAATAGTTAATTTTCTGGAGCTATTATGTATTGAATGTTGTAATTTTATTATTTTTATTTGTTTTGGAATAATTCATTTATTCTTCCATTGTACATTTATATGTCTTCAAAGAAATGCCTCTTAGTTATGTAACTTTCTTATTTTCTGTGAAACATTTATAAATGGTTTATTTGTTATGATCATACAGGTAGATAGTTTCAAATTATTTATTTCTGTGCATAAGTTGTAGATAATGTTACTAACTAGGATGTTATATATGATTACATCAATGCATGAGTAGAAAGCGACAGAAAATAAAATAATTGAAAATAGTAATTTTCGTCAAGAATTAATTAGTCTAATGGAACAGATCCATTTCATGTAGTGCAAGAATAAAGTATGAAATCATTGAAGTATATTGAATACTTCATTCATTTAAACTGTGTTGCGGTATAGTAATATGCATTGACACACTTTCGAAATATATACATTTACACACATTCAACATACTTGAAAGTGTCACTATCATTGTGTACGGTAAATGGTATTTGATTAAATGGACAGATGTATGTTGTCGTATATTCTACTCAAAATGAAATCAACTAATTGATTTGTGGTGTACATATTCTGTTTTGGCACTTTTATTTTTCTTAAAAAAATGGTTATGAATCTGTTTTATGACACTAGTTGTTCTTATTCAGTGATAAACAATAAATAGTTAACATTTCTTGTTGTTTGGCAGAGCAGTGGGTTAAGATGTTTAACTACTACATTACAGGCTCAAACACTGTCTTACCTACTTCCGTTTGGGCATCCGAGTAATATCAATTGCTCCCATATTTGAAGTTTGTTTTGAATCTACATGAATATGTACCTGTTATATGAGCATGAATCTTTATTATATGTTATATGTATGAACAAATTTTCTATCGTGAATTAGTTAGTCACTTAACTTATCATACGTTGTAATTGAACTTATTGATGTATATATATATCGGCATAGTCGAAATTCCCATTTTATCACTTAGCAAAATAAAGAACGATTAGAACAAAGAAATTTCTTTTCAATTACTTTTTCATCATGGCTCTATACTATATTGTGTTTATTTTACTATTTTTATGTTTATAAACAAATTCAGAGGGATTTGCAGAAACACACTTAGATAAATTGTTGGATTGTGCTCAAGTTGCACGTTCGTTCAAACCACTATTTGCAAGTCTTTCATTCATTATGAATGCTCAATTAATTCAATCTGATGTAAGTTGGTCTTTCAAATTATTCTGTTTATCAATAATGATTCTTCAATGTATTATATTCTGTGATTCAATGAAAATAATGAAATTCCTTTTTTTAAAAAAAGGGATAACATATTAAATCAAGTTTTTGATTGAGATCATGAACCGATTGATGTCAGGACACCGTTGGAAACCTGGAAGCACTGGATGGCCGTTTCGTCCCATTGTAGGACTCCTCAGCAGTGCGCATTCACGATCCCGCTCGCGGGATTCGAGCCCAAGGCCTTCAGTCTCGCGCGCGAACGCTTAACCTACTGGACCACTGAGCCGGCGTCCAATCAAATTAAACTAAAAGAACATAAAACGGATGAATACAAATTATATTTGGGTTATTCAAACTTATACATTTGTAATCGAATGCAGAAGTATTCAAAACTATACGAATAAATATGGTAGTCAGTCATCTATGTATTATCTAATCATAAATTTAAGTACATTAACATGTGATGACGTCGACTCATCACACGTTTCATTTTTATCACATTCTCTATCAAGTGAAGATTATTCCAAATATATAGAGGTTGAATTCTATTGAAAGTTGTTTCATATCTAAATATCAACAATTAGTTGCTAGCGTCTTGAATGAACATTTATGAATGTCAAACCAAATATAAAAATGTCTATATAAAATTCTAGGAACTAGCTTTTGATGCGATGATAATAGTGAATCGGTTGTACCAACCGATTATTCCTGATTCGTATCAAATCCACATGTAAATGTTGACATTGTTCTACGCAGAAATAGCCAATATTAACACAACAGTTGATAAAGATGTACAGTACTTGGTTAAACTACAGGTACGCATCTATAACGGTCTAATAAATACTGTAAGTATGCGGTCGGAACAGTTCATACTAATCGATTTACGGTGAGATCATCAAGTTTTTATTTCCCGAAAAAATAGACCGTGGTTTTGATACCTTCACCGTTGTATCTCGGTTTATGTAACCGAGATCTATTTCACATCAACTCAAAGTAAATACGACTCACAGCCTAGCACAAAAAGACATGTATTGTAGTTGGTTTATGAAGTATCTAATCACATTTATCGGAAAATATTTGGTAATCTCCTTTAAAATTAATTCAATAGTATCATAATAACTCGATGATCAGCACAAAAAAATGAACAGTAAATAAATGTTAAGATACACGAAAGCTATTTTTAGTGCATACTATTTGATAGACTTTAATATTTATTAAGTAACAGAAGGAATAATTGATCATAGACATCAAACTACATTTTTGTTAGTGACAATATTAATTCTGCTTAATTTTTCTCTTTTATTTTGGCTACTTGAAAATAAGAGATGATGGAATTAGAAATTTAAGTGGTGTCATAGAAACATTTGTTTCTTTTGTTAAAAGAAATTATATTTACTTATTTCACACACTTTGATAAACAATACCTGCAATAGTTCATTCACTCTATATCATATGACTCGGATTTTCTCAAGTAAAATAATTCTGATTTCCTCATTTTACTTAATTTTACATCTATGTGTTTAAGTGAACTAAGGTCGTCGTTTATCAATGAAATAAACATTGTCCATTGTTAGGCTTCCAACTAGTGATGATACCATAAATTTGAGTCAATTATGATCTAGGAGACAGTTTGGTGCATTTTTTTCCAGGTGATGCGTTTTCTTCAAAGAATACTGTTGTATTTTATTCATGTCTTCAAAGCTAAGTATAGAAAATCTGTATTCCATACATAGTTAATCCTAATTGTAATCAACTCTCGATAGATCATAATTCATGCATATGTTCATTTTAAAAACAACTTATCAAACCGTAACTGTTTCATGGACCTGGTTATCATGGTAGTGTAGTCAGGCTCTACCGGCAGTTGTTTCTCAAAGTCTTACCATACTAACCATTTCGATGGGTAGCTTAAGTACTTATGAGGTTAGATGCGGAATACTAAGCGAAAATGACAAGCTGATGGACTAGGTTGTATAATTCTATCGTTCGACGCATTTGGGAAAGGGTAATACAATTCACAGTCGAAGACTGCTCATACTTATATGGCAAGCCAATCAGAAGTGACCTGAAGGACAAGTTCGTTTCATTGACTAAAAAGTGAATCAACTTCCTAAGGGTTGGAGTGCTATATATAAACGCGTATTCATGCATTTTGTCCGATAGTCCAATATACTTTGTTGCTCACTCTCATGTCCTCTCTCAAGTAGTCAGTTCGGGGGGATCAGTGCTTAGCACACCATGTATCAGTATTAGTTTTCGAACACCGCCCGTCACAACACATACAGTCTTAACTGGCATAATATTAGGTCAGAATTTAAGGAAGGCCGAGCCCAGATATAACATCGGTTCATAAAGTCACTTACTTACGCCTGTTACTCCCGATAGAGTGTAGGCCACCGACCAGCATTCTCCAGCCCACTCTGTCCTCGGCCTTCTTTTCTAGTTCTTACAACTGTTGTTCATTCTTCTCATTTATGTCCCTATTTCTCAGCATAATGTGATTTCGGCTCTCATCTTTCCCTCTGACCTTGAGGATTCCGGATGAGGGTTTGCCTTGTGACACAGTTGGGTGCTTTCCTCAATGTGTGTCCTATCCACTTCCAGTGCTTCCGTTGGGATCTGGTTTGTTCTCTCCCACAGTAGCTTGTTTCCTGTAGTGTCTGTCCAACTGATCCGAAGTATTTTTTCGTAGAGGACCGTTAATAAGCACTTGTATGTTCTTCACTGACTACTGATATAAGCCGTATGTGGTATGTAAACTTCTTCGGTTGAAGCCCATACAATACTCTTAGTAGTGACAGTACATATTTGTACTGTGTTCTATGTTTTCTTTGAATAAGAGCCCGATATCTGTCTTCTAGCTATCAAGCGTAAAAAATGTCTAATATATTCATCCCTCCTTTTGGGACCTAGTATTATTTACAATTAACTACTTTTTTGGTCATCGTCACTCATAACAAGCCTGTTGATGATTTTTCCTCATTACTATTTATGAATGTGAAAACCAGTCATTAGAGTGTTTTCTACCTGTAAATTCGAAATAATTGTTTTCAGTGACAGTGATTAAATTTTTAAAAAGATAATACAGTTTATGACAATACTTGAAGACTGCTCGATGTTATCTTTACGTGGTTCACTTTTGCTTTTAATTTCATTCATAATTTCACACAATGATCGGTCTACCATGTAAAAGTATCTAATTGATTATTTTTGTCTTATTGGACAAGAAGCACTTGAAGGACTTGATATGAAATAGATACTAAGTTGATGAAACGGTTAACCGATAGCGTGCATTCTTCAATATCTTTTTCTTACCATTTGGTCTTCAGCTGATATGTTCAATTGACCCGGCTTATCACATCTTCCGGAACAACCAATCTAAGGCATCGAAATCAACAATCAAACCTTAAAGAGATCATTAAAGGATATTGCCAACAACAACTCATACTGAATACGAGATGACTTATTGTTCAGGAAGGAAATGCGATAGACTGGGTCGGTCAAATATGTCAGCTGAAGACCAAATGATAAGAGAAAGATATTGAGGAATGCATGCTATTGGTCAAAGTTTGACTTGTTTACGCGTCTGACACAGACAGATCGCTGTTGGTGGAAGCATAGCTTGATTATCCAAGGGACACATCTGTATTTATAAGTACGTTTGTTATAACAGATCACGTGAAATTGAGTTTGTTCACAATTACTTCAATTAAGTCATTTTATTAACTTATTAACGAACTGAGTCATCCTAACAACAACTTATATATATCATTGTATCTTTATTACTATTGCAAATGTATGGACATGTGTGCTTGAATATTGCTTACGCCCCACGCATGTATTCACTATGCTAGCGTTACTACTAGCCGCTTATTTGATTCGATGACTCATTCATTTCACTATGTATATATATGTCCATGTTATTCATACTCATTGCTCTCGTGCTCTCGCTCGCTTAATTGTACGCGCTTGCTCGTATTCATATTCGCTGACTCACTCGCTCGCTCGCTCGCCTTTCGGCACAACTCTTCCATGCTTGTTTAACGCATCTGTAATTTTGGATATATGTGTGTGGTCCCGTAATAAACGTAATCAACGCTTCGTACTCGCTTTCTGATTAATATACCGTTGGGGCGTTATATAGGACGGTTATCAAAACGAACTGTATACGAAGTTTATGGATTATATCGAGTACCGACCACCACATTGTGTAAATATGTCGATTCAGGTTTTCAAACACCTTCCTATTCATCTGTTGTTTTTTCACTCGAGTAGTTCATTAGTATCGCGTGTATTTGAGTAAGACAATCGAACAACTGTATAATACATACTCATAGATGACGTGTTTGTTCCTTTAATAGGTTACTCTGTTCATACACTCTTATGGATACAATGTGTCTCTACTTTATTTTTCCTTAAATAGCCCGTCACTATATCGTTGCCTAATCAGACAAATGTCCCACAATATCAATTGGGTAGATGCGTATCTCTTCTACGTTTACCACCAATTCCAAAAGTTAGCCAATTATTACAAACATACCTTCCAGTAAAAAAGAAACGTGTAGATCGTGTTAATGCTAGTTCATATGCATTATCACGATGGACACCGTATATTTTAGATATTATGGAAGTAAGTTCAAATATTTTGGTAGTTTTTTTTTGTCTAATTTTTTTACTACTTACTATTCTCCGATACAACACAGAATGCACCAATCCAATCACAATTGACGGAGAAGATTTGGAAGATGTAAAAACCTTTACGTATTTGGGCAGCATCATTGACGAACAGGGTGGATCTGATGCAGATGTGAAGGCGCGGATCGGCAAAGCAAGAGCAGCATATTTACAACTGAGGAACATCTGGAACTCAAAGCAACTCTCAACCAACACCAAGGTCAGGATTTTCAATACAAATGTCGAGACAGTTCTACTGTATGGGGCAGAAACCTGGAGAACTACAAAAGCCATCATCCAGAAAATACAGGTGTTTATCAACAATTGTCTACGCAAAATACTTCAGATCCATTGGCCGGACACTGTTAGCAACAACGTACTGTGGGAGAGAACAAACCAGATGCCAGCGGAGGAAGAAATCAGGAAGAAGCGCTGGAAGTGGATAGGACACACATTGAGGAAAGCACCCAACTGCGTCACAAGACAAGCTCTCACATGGAATCCTGAAGGTCAAAGGAAAAGAGGAAGACCAAAGAACACATTACGCCGAGAAATGGAGATAGACATGAGAAAAATGAACAAGAATTGGATGGAATTAGAAAAGAAGGCCCAGGACAGAGTGGGTTGGAGAATGCTGGTCAGCGGCCTATGCTCCATTGGGAGTAACAGGCGTAAGTAAGTAAGTAAGTAAGTAATTCTGTGTGAAAATAAAAAAAATAATCGACACTAAAACTACCAGTTATCGAATACAATCTTTTTTCATTTGTAAATTAATTCATTTCATCTATTGAATTTCGACCAATAATATACTAAACAGTGTGCTAGTTATTGTATAGTATATTCAAAGAAAAGTAATTGAACGTAGTACAAGTCATCAATTGTGATATATAACGATTGAATAAGTGTTTCCACATTACTTATTATCAGATAGATCTTATTTTTTGTTTACAAATAAACACTTCAAAAGTTTCTATATACCTGGATGCACCGGACGGTCACTTCGTCCTAGTATGATATGTTAAGCTGTGAAGTCATGTAAATTAGCTAAGGGAATTTTACTGTGTTAAAAGTTGACAGTCAGATTCCAATATTCATTTACATATAGATTTTAGTTATCGAACATTTCACTAAGCAGATTGTATGTACATTTAACAGTGAATAATTTATGGTACAGTGATTTAGAAGAGGTACTCAGCTAACAATTATTCATTCTAGAATTCATTATCAAGTTGTCTAACAAAACAATAGGTGTTATTCATGGCCTCATACACAGTCAACTTTCCTATACCTATCTTACTTTTTTTCGTTAACTTTTGGTTTGATTCTGTTGAATATAACGAGGATTTTAGCTTTAATCTTTCGTAACTGCTAAAATAGTTTGTGAATTAGGAGAAATTGTGTCAATTCTGATAGTGAAGTATTTTACTATTGATTTGGAATTAACCACTGTAATTAAACTCAGTAACTAAGTTACGGGTTTATGTACTCCTCTTTGAGTCCTACGTTTTATATGAGTAAGTATGGAGTGAGGTTTTAAGTCAAGTAGCTTAACTATACTAAGCTACCATGTGAGAATAATGACATTCACCATTAGCAGGTAAAGTTGTCGTACTGTTACGTCTTTGATCTGTTTACCCACTGATATACAATAGATAACTTACCTTGATTCGATAGGCTGACTGGTTTAACCTTGAGGCTACAATCACGTGAGTTCGAAGTAATACTAACCGCCTTGGGTAGAGAGACGGAAATCATTCTATTACCTGGTTGGTTGACGGGCGCGTGAGAGAGATAAGACTAGTCAAGTGGAACTCTACTCGATTGATTCCCGATTTCGATTCACACTCCGATCCAGATTAATTCTAAAAGATACATGAATAAATAGATGACCAACATGAGAACAACGCACAAACAATTAGGGAAATGCAATTATGTAAGAAACCGGGAATTAGTGTAGAAAAAGTAGTAGCAAAGGCTACGTTTAAATTACAATAACTTTGGAACAAAAAGGTTTATGACAGTGAATCATACATCAAACGAAAGCTTATGTTTGTAGTGTTACAAGCTTTGAATTAAGTGAAATAATGTCCCTAAAAATAGCTTCCTTTGTTATTCATGGTTCTTTTTGTTTCTCTGTTCACATTAAATACGAATCTTTGTTTTTAGGCCGTTAGGAAAATTTCTTTTCCTTGCTTATATTTTAGCAGAGTGTCAGATAGACCATCATATGTTTGTTTATTTTAATGTCATAATTATATCTTCTAATGAATTACCAGATTTATTCACTTATTATATTTGGATAAAAAACTAAACAAAATATTGAAGGTTTTCGATGAACTATGTTGTTACTTTTATTCCGTTACTCTTAGCAAGCTATTTCGGGTAAGCTGGACAAATCACGTTTTGGATTCGTTGTAGCAAAAGGTATTAAAGATGTGTTTGGTCTCGGTAATGCAGTGGATACTAGTTCTAAGGATTTTAAAAAGCCTTCCGCACGATTTCATGCCAGTGGTGTTTTGTCTGCAGGTCCTTCAGCATCTGTTAGGTCATCTAGTCCAAATCCTGGTTCGGATCGGAATACAGCTGCTCCTTCTATGACTGAACACTGTGGTCCTCGTCTTATAGTCTTTGTTGTTGGAGGTTTCACGTTATCAGAAGCCAGAGTGGGTTACCAGTTAACGCAAAGAGTAAGCTTCTTTTATCGAAATTGAAACAACATCTTTATCGCTTATGATAACAATGTGTTTTTTTAAAGGAAGTATTACAATTTTAACTTTTATAAATTTCAAAGAAACAATAGAGTTCGACGAATTCTCATTAACCCCAAATTCTTGATCCACTTTAGAAGTAAAAAAGGCACATGGAATAGTTCATATCTGAATCTTAATGGCTTTTTCTTAATCACCTAAAGAACGAGTGATCCAGAATTTATTTGACTAAGTGGGAAGGTTATATACTACATAATGACTGGTACAAGAATTGATAAATGCCTTTAAAATAGTGAATATCCATAAAAATCCATTGATAAACATGTTTGAAAGACAGAGATTATCGACAGAAAGCTTTACGAATTACTAACTTTCAGCATTCATCAGTTATTAAACATTAAGCTTCTCCACCATCTCATTAAGCTATTACCTCTGACTCAGTCTTTTTATGTAAACTGTTATTTATCAAAATTACAGGTCCATATATACTCTTTCCTATGTTACTATCAAATATATGTATCATTTTATGTTTATCTGGTAGATCAGTTACATTTATATAACACAAAGGAGAGGTTACCCTATAGTATGCTCATCAGTGGACTATTGATAATCCCAAAAATTAAAAGCTGTTATGTTAACGGGGTATGAACTGGACCATAGTGATACCAATAATGTGTAGTTGAGCATCAAAAAGCTAGTGTAAGACAAGGTTATATAACAGAAAAGAATGGTTTCTAATAGTTGCATCTTAAGTTGGATTGGATTTCAGTGACCTACAAAATCTGTATCTTCTAATCCCTTGTGTTCGATATTTTGTATATGAACATGTTATTTTTTTATAGAAAAAAATCAATTATCTTGTCCTTGTTATCAGCTTGCATCAATAAACCGTCCTTATGAGCAACTATCAAACCGAACACATCGTTATGATTAGGTTTATCCATCGGTATGCACTCTATTCATTTATTTTAAAAGCGATTAAACCGCACATCATTCATCAATAAGGTATTACAAATTTCGAAAGTTGAGTAGTACACGGATCTGACGATAGTGCGATCCATCCCGAGTTATTTCACTAAATCTTCAACCGTTTTCTGTTATCTCCCTATCAAAATTCCAAAACATACCTTCTTACACCAAGTGAATTTTAATAAATGATGCAATTAGTTTTCTGTTCTAAATATTTAATCTAATATAGCCTCCCATTCTCCTTGATATTTTTAGTGTAAATAAAGTGATTGTTCAATGTATTTGTTTTCGTATTACTGTCTAGTCTTGTTTAAATAAGTGTGGAGTGTTTAATGTTTCAATGTTATATCTCATTCAAAACTGTTGGTCACTTTCAACAATGGTTTATGAATTTTATGTCAATTTGAGATGGATTACTTTTTAACTAATAATAATAATAAGAATGTTAATCATTTTTAACTTATTTTGTTAGTGTAAGGAAACCCGTCTTGCAGCTAGTGATAAGAATACAAATAAAATAAATACACCTACAACAGAAAATATTTCAACAATCCCCGGTGGAGGAGTTGGTTGGAACTGGGAAGTTGTACTTGGTGGTACACACTTGTTGACACCAAAAATATTTCTGGATAATCTTGAAGGCATTGCAAAAATCATAATGCCACCAGTTTCAAGTACACCAATACCTGAATCAGTACTTCGTCGTGTCTCAATTATGAATCCTTTTCGAGGGTGAATTATTGTAGCCATTATTTAGTCCATAACAATTGGATTTGGGCTATTCTCGACTACGCCATGATTGACATGTCATTATCAGTTATGATTATTTGCAATAAGTCTGTAATTTTTTTATTACCGAGACTACATTCCATAATATCTATTTTTGCTTATCAACTGTGATTTTCTTCTACTGTAGAAGACTATTATCTGTTGTTAATCTTTTCTGTGTTAACATATCTCAGTGAGAAAGCTGTCCATGTCATTTGTAATTTTTTTTTCCAAAAAAATGGAAAAACTATTTGTTTTTTTTCTAAATTTAATTTTTGAAACCCCTGAAAGAAAGATGTTCATGTGCAAGCATTCACTAGCTTGATATAATGATGTTCGTTTTTACTGAATCTATTTTTTTCTATTGTAACTTGGTGTGTATGTGTGAATGACCAGAAATATTGCCTTAAATTACATTGATTTTACTGGACGAGAATTTGTTTGTTATTCTACTGGGAACTCATCAGTTAGAAGCTTTTGTTTATTTGATAAGTGTATCTCAAGTCACCTCGAAACACTGAAGAATTCCTCCTTGAAATGTTACTTCCTGTATTACAAGCAATATTTATACGAATGCGTCATGAAAATAAACAACAATAAGACTTTATTACCAGTAAGAGAATAAGTATGAAAACACGTAATTCGTCATTGTTTATCTTACCGATGTTTACAAAGTGATCAAAGGAGATCATATATATCTGGCACTTATTAAGGAATATATGACTACCCCTTGAAATCCATACATAACATAGGTTTTATGTAAAACAACGACTCTGTCCACCGCACTTTCATTTAGTATCTGTTAGTTCCTTGCTATCTAGTGTCAAGTTTTCCCTTCATTGTGAACACCTGTATGATACTATTAATTATAGGCAATATTTCCCTCTGGTACATTTCAGCATTTTTTTGAATTTGGTATGTCCATGAGAAAAGAAGCAACGGAAAACACTACCTTCGGATATACAGTCGATAACTGTTCATTAATTCTTTTTGAAACTTTGTTTTTGTCACTCCAGCTTATAAGTACCATGTACCAAATTTAACTTTCGGTAATTGTCTGAAATTATAATAACATCAATTCTCCAATTCATTCTTATTACGAGATTCTGGTAGGTCCGACTAGTCTCTTGCTACCTTTTAACTGTTTACGTAGAAACCAGAAGTGATTTATGTTTCAAAGGTGCTTAATATTTTTTAATGCTTACTTACTGATAGTCTAAATGCAAGATTTTAATTAGGCATAAAATTCTTGGTTGCGGAGTTCGTAACTGTGTGGGGATGCAGCAGTTCCTGATAATTTAACTCTACAGGTTTTCACGTTGTTATTCAGGCTTATCAATCAAATTGATCGAGTCGGTCAGTCATAAACAACGTAGAGCCTGGTGCATATATGCCTTTATCCAAGTTGCCGAACCGTTTCGGGATAGCGAGATGATATCAAAACGAGCACCAGAAATGTAATACCTATGATACAGAAGGTAAAGTCATAAGGGATATAATTCAAGAATAAGTGACTCACGAGATGATGTTCTGAAACAGGGTATAGAGAACAAAGAGTGGATGTATTTAATTATTAACCACACTAATTGTGTAGATCCCAGCCAGGTGATCTGAATCAACAGTGGATGACTTCATGAACTGATATGTCCTTGTTTGACCGACCCCAGCTTACTTTCAACCCACGTCGAAATAGGCACTGACTGAATGTAGCCAATACATGTCAAAACTTCTTAATTGATGGAGATTCACAGTTGACAGATCTACCAACTTTTCCTAGTGCACTGCGTATAACTTTAACACTGCTCACGCGGTGCTACCAACATTGACAGAGTTCGGTAATTAGATGTAGTCTTATATTGCCAGTCACTATTTTACGAGTACGGAAATTTGATCATCATGGTCTAGTTTTGACTTTTGGTTTGTGAAGTTTCAGCATTCATAATCATGAAATGCACGAGTTACATTATTTTTCTAAGATTATTTCATTCGAATGTGACTGACCTAGTCAATGCAGAGATGTCGCATTTTTCGGTCAGAACTACCCACTTTACAGATACGTACTTTGTCGCAGATAAGCTAAGAGGTGACATGTCCCTCGTTTGAGTTTCAAGTAGCCGGTCTTCCCAAAAAGGGTTGATGTAAATGTTTGGTACATTTCTCTATGATGCAAAATGCTGCTCCAGAAACGGCTTAAACGAATGTCCTGGAGAACGGAAGAGAATAAATTAGATGAGTTTATTAACCACTTTGTTTATCTTAGAAGTTTTATCACCGTTGCTGATTGAATCTAAGTGAAAATACACAGGTTTCTCACACCTTGTACCTCATGGTGTTCGAATGGTACGAACGTTTACATTCCAAATGGCGAAGGTAGCAATTCACTCCGGACCGCTTTGCGGTAGAAAGTATGTAAGCATAGATGTTCCTAAAGTATTAGTAGCACGTGAATAAGACTACTAAGTTAGTAATGTTCCATTTAATCACGGGAAGTTGACAGGGTTCTTGATATCCATCGACTGTAGTAGTTTATACGTTACGTAAGTTCAGCCATAGACTAACTCGACGCACTACGCTGGGACCGTGAACAAAAACAAGGCATCGTTTTGTGAAGACATCAACTTCCAGTCTGAGTCATGTTGGATGCAGTTCTTCCAGGTTGATGTCGTCAGAGACACTACTTATACATAGAGTTGGGTACATTATTTTTCTCAGTCTTAATTTCCATATTTTTCTTATTGTTAAAATCCATTTATTCCCTATAAATCGTATCTCTTGTCTAAATTTTTACTCCAATTGACATTTTTTCTCCTTTGCTGTTCATCTCGCCAATCTTTACTTCCACTGTGCTGTTGTGAAATGTAGGTCAAAATGTTCTGATGAACGTAATTTTTTAGATTATTTTAAAATGAATAAACATTTCGGATACTAGTTAATCTGACTGTACTAGATATGGTAGATATTACAGTGTACTTGACTGCTGAAGTATAATCAATAAGAAATAGCCGTGATTCATATTCATAAAAGTACAATCCGCCTCAGAGATTTATATGTTAGTAAGGAGAAGACCAAACGTAATACTAAATTTATTTATTATTATTATTAATGGCTTTATTCAATATTATATTTTGGTACAATATAGAATTCTCAGCATATATATGATTAGATGTAGTAAAATGAAGTATCCTTTAGTTCTACCCCAATTAAACAAAACATTTAGAGAAATTTATTTCCTAATAAACCAAAAATTTAGTTATTTACATTGAATGATAAAGTAACGAAAATAATACAAATAGGTATATATTCGATCATGGAACTGTACAATAATCTCAGACACTATACTATCTGTGGTTAAGAAGTACAGAAAGAAGATCTTCTTGTTTCTTTTGAGTGGCGCGTGGAAGTATTGCAGTTCTAAAAAGTTAATGCATAATACTTAGTAACTTACAGTGAACGCTGAGTATCCGCACTAAGTCTTTTAACTTTTTTGTTCTGAATAAGTAAATTAAGGAAAATAAGATAATAGCTTACATTGTTAGCGAGAGGTTTGTTAGAAGTTATGGCTTCATGAGAATCGAAATTATCAGGAGTTCCTTTTGCGGTCAAAAACTTTGGGATATCTTTAGTTCGAATTTCACCAAAATCTAAACTGAAGTAAAATAACATAAAACGAGATTTTGTGAACAATACACTTCGCGATTGTTTACATCTGTTGCTGGTGGTTTTGCTTGATGATTTAATGAAGACGGTAGTGTAACATCAGATGGTAACTAAGATATCAATTAAATATAATTAAATAATCTACCCAAGTCTTTGTATCTGTTAAAGATCTTCGAACTGCAAAGAGATTACCATAACAACAGTTAACTTCATCTAGAGAATTAAGAGATTGAACTCTACCCATATTGATTCCAGTTTTTAACTTACCTTAAACCTGAAAGTACTGTCATTATTAATAAGAGGACTTTGGTAAAGTGTCCGGTAGTAAACTGTGCTTCACACGACCTACATAATTTTCGTAAATGTCTAATACAAATTACCTCCAGCAGGAATTCAAACGAAGTAGCAATATTTCTATTTTTTTGTACAATTGAATTAGGCATACTAGTGTATGATCCAAAGTATGTCCACTCACACAATGTTCACTTTTACATTTTAAGGACATAGTACAAAAATTTGAAATCCCATTTAGGATAGGACCATCACAAAGTTGTGCTAGACTGCGTCGAACCTGTAAAAGATCTACAATTTCAAAGAGGATCTACAGAAGAGAATGATTTGAAAAAAAGAAACTTGTGTAGTTGGTTTTTGAATCGAATGTATATCATATGGGATATAAGTATATCTTTATTCCGATAACTCCAAGTTCTTCGCAACTTCCCTAAACAGGAAACTTGATTTTTGGAGTAATCTACGGAGTTTGTTTGAAGTTAAGATTACACATACTAGAAATTTGGCCAGCGCATGATATATATAACTTTGGCGGAATGAAGTTAATGTTTAAACTTTCAGCCATACTATGACCTGTAACAAAAGAGACAACATACGTTTATGGGAAATAAAATCAACGTAGAAATCAATGAAAAGAAGAACTCTCACGAACATATGTCGAATTTGTACTTTAAAAACGTTTTTAGGCAAACACTGTCCTTATTATGACAGTTAATTGAAGTGTCGACATTTAGCTGGAAAGCCATCGTATTGTCGACATTTAGTGACTGTATCAAACATATATAATTAAAAATACAGCAAACTACAATCGTGTAAGTTTGCTTTCTGCTTACTCTGTATTATAAATAAACTAATAAGTTATCGACATTTATACAACGGTTTTAACTGTTAGGAAACATAACTAATGGAAAAAGCCCTCGTAGAGTGAATGGGTTGAATTGGTGCCGTTCCTCCATTTGTATTAAACAATAATATATGGGAAGTTCCTGTGGATGAAAACTGGAAGATATATTTTGTAAAAATGATTTTAGTACATTTCACATGACATTTCAGACTCCGTTTCATAAAACATTGTTAGAACTATATTTTATGGACAAAATAATCAGATATATCCAGTCCCGGATAATGACCCGTTAGGAAGCTAAAGCTCATAGTTTTTAGTTTCCATTAAAGGATTGTCTTAGACTTATGATTGTCGTTTGTAGCTGTTATTTATTGCTTTTATTCTCAAATGTAAGTCCAACTTATGTGCTTACTGACTAATAGGCTTACTTTTCTCCTATTTTGGCCTGTTTCAGATTTCTTCCTATACTGCCCCTCATAACTACTCAGCACAAAAGCCATATTTAAGTAAAAGTCAAACCTATCAAACGCTGGTCGTTACAAAATGGTTAACTATTATTTTGGGACTATAGTATGGAATGGAAACATGAAGTCCGGTCCGTAACCGTAAATTCTAACACAAGCTACCGGGACTTATCTGTCACAATAACTCAGATTGGCATTTCGATACTAGTAAGAGGTCGAAGCGAAACCATTAGAACATTACTCTAAGGTCGTACATGACATAGAGTCCCGTTCTGTCTTGAATTATTTAAATGTTCAAAATCTTATAGCGGAAACTTTTTTGAGAATTTATGTATATATATATATATGCTAAAACCTTGATTCTGGAACGTTCAAACTTTAAAAGTCTTGGGTCTAGCCTACAAAGATTTTGTATTGGGGAAGTGTTGAAAGTTTGGATGATAGAATGAACAGACAAATCAGTACGCGCATGAGGTATTTTTAAGTCCGTTAAGAAAGTATTCGAAAATAATTTAATGAACACGATCGTGAGGATACGACAATCTGATAATCAGAACCACGAGTTACTAGAGTAATGTTTCAAGTCTGCTAAAACTCGTTTTATATGACGCTTCAGGACCACAGTGAATCGACTTAATATATGAAAATTTAAAAACACACCAAGTGGTAACCTGTATTTTAAATCTGAATCTTAATAATTTACCATAGCCGATATAGAACAACGTGACTAGTGACGTCAGTAACAAAATGAGCGGTCACTTAATAACCTTGTTAGTAGGTCATTCAAACCGAATGAATTATTTGTGTTTGTTTCTCGCTATTTTGATGCAGCTTCAGGTCCTCAATATTATTCAGTGGTTCAAGTATCGAAACGATACACTGGTTTGGTCGTTATTTGTGGGTGATGTTTTGTAACTGGGTGCGTTTTTCTGAAAGTATTAGGGCATTAAGGGCATTACATATTTTCACAGCGTTACATTTGTGTTACTGCATACTATAAAATCACTAACATTTTGCATAATAGCTCAGAAATTAGCCGAAAAGTTCAAATGTTGATATTCTAATTGGTTATTCACATTCAAAATATCGAAAAGTAACGTTTCGATGTTTGTTTATTCGTTATTTGATGAAAAGCTCGTGAGTGGATTTTTCGTCGAATAAGCCTAAATACAATCTTGTTAGTAAAATTAAGGTTAGACCAAACTGTTTTTTGGAATTATAAAAGTAATTTCCTCATTTAAAAATATTATAGCTATAAGAACAGTTAGTGTCAATCAGTCATTTCGGAGATAGAGAATGCTATATTGTTGTGGTTGTCTGTGAAAAACGATGTGTTGCGGAGTGAACTTGAAATTTTATGTAGGTTTTACATTTTAAATTATTTCAGTTAGCAAATAGACGGTGTTCACCAAGATTAATAACAAGCCTGTTACGCAAATAGATCGTTAAATGCAAGCGCAATGTTTCCAAGAGAATGTTTATACTTATTTAAATAATTACTAGTTTGATTTCTGTAAGCTATTCAATGGAGGATATTCTAACTTGTATCACCCCACCGAACGTTGAGTAAGTATTCATTTGTACATTGTATTATTCAGATTTACCCTGAACGTTTTTTTGTATTTACAACGCACGCCTTACAGTAACATTTTTGAAAGGTATTATCCAGAGGTTTTGTCAACAGTATCTCGCTTGTTGTAATGGAATGCATCTGTTCTTAACCATTTCTGTGGTCTTGAACGACAGTTCTAAGATCGCCAGAATACGCATAGAGCGTAGATTCTTGATTTTTTGGATTCTCACTTCATAGAACTGAACATCCAGATGTAACGAAGGAAGGTCGCACTAGAAGATGAAATGCTCTATGATCTTTTTGTTGGTCGCAGATACTGTTCGTTACAATGAGTGAATTAAACTCCCAGAAATCAATGAAATATGATCTTCATAATTCACCGACGTCATTAGTGTTTAATTTTTTTTAACTCAAGAAGCTACTCACCAATCATGCCATGAAACAAAAGACAAAGTCGGTATTTGCAACTATCGATTTTACAAAATAATATTTTTTAATGAATACACGACTCTTGGTCTTTCTACAAGTTCTTTGCACTAAGTTTTGTTTCTGAATCGTCACCAATCAAGCAAACCATAGTACTCTTAACTTATCTATTACCTATATGATTGGTTCACGTTCTAATTTAATTATAATTCTTTCAGGATATAATAAATCACAATGAACAAGTCATAGAGTCTTCAACCACTATACGTTTGAAACAAAATGGGAGTTCTGTTGACTGGATATATTGCCGACATGTCAGTAAGATTGTTAACCACATTTGAGTTTCTTAGTGTAGACAGTATACAGAAATGGCATCGAACATTGAAAGCATTTAAAAAGGTAGCGCGTTTATTGAGTCTGTGAGATTTATCACACCTTATAATCCATTCGTTTTTATCAAAAATTTTCCTTCAGTAGTTTCGAATGAATGTTGATCGAAAATAGACAGACACTCTGATTTATGCTTCCCTGTTGATCATATGTAACTCATATGACACTGAATTAACAAGAATTAGTTTTTGCGTAACCGACGATAAATGCGTGTCCGCCTGCGAAATCCTTCAGTTAAAAACACTTCAGAAGTTTGAAACTAGCATTGCGAATAAATTATTTGTTTAAATGTTAAAGGCGAAAAAACAAAATATGTTGTGGATGAAATCAGAATTTACAATGTTCTTGTGAAAAAAATGATTGACGCAATCCGAGTTTTCTATTTCTTAGCACACTACTGAACAGCCTTATGTAGCTTGAATTTCACATGAATCATTATTGCTACCTTTTATATGTCTGTTTAATAACCGAATGGTCCAAGTTAGGCTGCTTTTGTAAGTCCGAGAAACATATGAACGGAAAACTTTACAGTAGCGTCGATATACCAAGGTCGTGAGTCCATTAAAACAAATGTGGTCTGCATCCAATGCTGAAAACTTACAGAGCTATTTATTTTGAGGATTTATTTACCGCTACAGCTCTCCAGGCCAAGCCAATGGCTCTAACCGATGTCGAACACGAGATACAATCATCTTTTTTTGTCGTTCGCAAGCAGATGGCTTTTGCAAGAGCTTTGTTTTAGGGCGGCCTCTCCCTCGGTATTAATTAAAATAAGAATCTATTTGTCAAAGCGGTTCACTGTGCTTGTCGAGATACTAGCGTTTCGTATTTCGGTTAAGTGCTTAGTGATGCATACGTTTCTTCGAGATATTTTCAAGTAAGACTTCAGATTTCGACGAGCCCTTGGTTAACTATTAGGACTTTGGACTTCATAGTTTCAAAACTTGTGAAAACGCTGTTATTGTGCATGTATTTATACATACTTGAAATAGAGTTATAAGATATTTCAAATGGATGAGTGAGTGCATAAGATTAGAGATTTCACAAAAAAGTTAGTAAACACAAACTTCTTGGCGATAAAACCTTAAAGACACTCTAAATTTCACCTGTACTTCTGGCCGTTCTAGCGAGAAACCTCAAGTTAATCCGAAAATGCTCTTTTAAATAACTAGATATGTAGTTGATCCATATAATTTAGATAGCTAAACTTACATACAGCACTGGTTCAGTAATGGTTGTGTTATATGCTATTATGGTTAATCATTGGTAAGAAAGACTCAGTTGATGGTTTTTAATGTGGTGGTATATTATAAACCAGTGGTGATTAGTGTGAATTTCTGATTATTGGCAGGGACTCTGAGAAGTCACATCATACGTAAATAGTATGCGAATCTTGGCTTCAAAAATTGCTGGACAGAAGTAGTAAGAAGTTTGTTCCTTGGGATGTCCATCTACGAAGTATTCCTAATTGTTCAGATGTATGGTTCTTATTATGTTACATTAAGATTAGGAGACCGTAAACAATGGCCAAATGTGGATTAGTGATCAAGGATTAAAACTAAATTTATGCCCACAATACCGGCAGAACTAAATTAAACCTCCAGCTATATTCAGGGTGTAACGATACTACTATCATCTCCGTTGCGTAGTTCCACGATTTTCTGGCTTTACCGGTGAAAATATTTGCACTTGGGTTATTATTAGCACTGCATTAGGTGTCCTTCTAACTACACCTTAGTACTGGATTGCAAGAGTGATAGACTGATATGAAGAGAATTTTGAGTGCATCACATTCATCTTATCATTACGTAATGCACAATCTATACTTCCTTAAGTTCGTCAGAAGAAAATGACATTTTCCTTTATTTCAGGAGGCATAATGGAGGTGCTTATTGCTTTCGCTGACTTCATTATCATCAAATGATAACGATGATATTGAAATATTGACACTGTACAGATTTTCAGATGTTCTACCGACTGATTATTTTGACACAACGTTAAAGTAGGAAGTTGAATATGAAAATGTTTTAGATTCAAATTTGTGGTATATTCGTCATTGAAGACAGTAAATAAAAGACTGAGCGATAAAATCTAAAGCTTTGATTTCAAGATATTACTTGTCACTAGCGTTGACTTATTTCAAAATAAAAAACGAATAATGCAAACATGGGGGCAGATTTGTGGTAAAATAAGTGAGTGTGCAGACCCACACAAGCACAAACCAGATGCACGAGTATAGGAATAACAAGGACAAAGTTAAAAGAGACTCATTCGTCGAAAGTCGTACGATTCAGCCATACATAAATCATACTCATGAATTTGTATTGACAAGGTCACAGGACATAGAGGTACATGTGGAAGGTCATATGCAGACTGAATTACAACTTGATTAGAATTCAGAACAGGATTATGTAGGCCTTATACCAAAGAAAACAACACAAAAATAGGTAATCATTTATATGGCGCTCTTTGGGTACGAGAGGTTCACCTGTATCTAAAACCAGATCTCTGTACCCAAAAAGAGACAGTAATAAACCTTTCTTTGCCCTCGTAACACTAAAACATCTTTGTTTTTTAACTTCATGAGTTTTTAACACTATTTCAATGTTCTAGAACTTTCCCTCCCAAGCTTTATTTATCTGAATCAAAATTTTTATGACCTTATTAACTTTATTGAAATCTTCGCTACATCATGATGTACGTATTCACCTTTAATCAACGTATTATGTATAAGTATGTCAACATTTGTGATAACGTTGATTTTCAAATATTTAAGGTTGTAAGCACCTGATGCGAACCTAACGAAATAAAATGAATTCATATTATTCTACACAAATCTTCGTTCTTGCTCTCTTTAAGATAATGACCAAATGTTGTTAGGACGTATAACAGTAAATATGCTGGTATGATAATTGAGATTTGTACTCTGTTTATAAAAACAGGCTCACTTCGTGAGTTACACATGGTTACAATACCGCACAATTCTAGTCTTCTTTCATGGTAGGATATAAGTGAATAAAATTGAAATCAGTCACCAAATATCAAGTAATGATTCAATCTTGGAATTATGATCATCTTCATAAGTAATATGGATAAGAAAATACACTTGGTGGTTAAAGTAAAAGTTTCAGATAAATGATAACGCAGATTAAAAAACTGCCAATGTTAATGTCTGGAAAAAATGAAAAGATATGATGTTTTGCTATTACATCGGGGACTTCCGAGGGATGTTCCCTATGTTTTGTCCGATTTCGTATTGTGTGAGGAGATATATCTACAACCATGAAACAATAATTGTGTACACTGAGTAAGCAGTAGATAAAATGTTGTTGAAGGAGACTCTAAAATCTGATGAATCACTATCTACAGA